CAGCTGAATTCTAATCACATTGATTAAAGGTATTGACCAGCGGGACCCGAGGGGTTTAATTGGCCGTCCTGCCTGTATCAATCATCCGGCGTGCAGCTACACTATCTACTCTGGATCTGAAATCCCATTTTCACCGCCACTTCATCTCCCACCTGCTCGTAAACTTCATCTTTAAAAAGACATGAAACGGGAACATCTGTTCCAACTCGATGTCTTCTGAATGCTTTAGTGGACAAGGTCGTGACAGAAGTGGTCTTTAGAGGCCCAAAATAATGGATCCGAACCCAAATGGCCCCCGAGCTGTTTGTCCCTGAGATCTTACAGACCTGACCAGGTGCAGGTCAAACGTCAGGTCCACAACACAGGCCGACAAAGTGAGTTACAAACAAAGCCTCAAGGAGATGTCGCCCTGCTTATCGTTCTTTTCTCGTCTTCTGACTCCTCAAAGCTCTTTTACACCGCAGGTCACACATACAGCTTCACACGCTGATGGTAGAGGCCGCTGAGTAAAGAGTCCGTCAGTATTAACTCATCCATTCACACACTGATGGTAGAGGCCGCTGAGTAAAGAGTCCGTCAGTATTAACTCATCCATTCACACACTGATGGTAGAGGCCGCTGAGTAAAGAGTCCGTCAGTATTAACTCATCCATTCACACACTGATTGTAGAGGCCGCTGAGTAAAGAGTCCGTCAGTATTAACTCATCCATTCACACACTGATGGTAGAGGCCGCTGAGTAGAGTCCATCAGTATTAACTCATCCATTCACACACATTCACACGCTGATGGTAGAGGCCGCTGAGTAAAGAGTCCGTCAGTATTAACTCATCCATTCACACACTGATGGTAGAGGCCGCTGAGTAAAGAGTCCATCAGTATTAACTCATCCATTCACACACCTTCACACACTGATGGTAGAGGCCGCTGAGTAAAGAGTCCATCAGTATTAACTCATCCATTCACACACCTTCACACACTGATGGTAGAGGCTGCTGAGTAAAGAGACCATCAGTATTAACTCATCCATTCACACACTGATGGTAGAGGCCGCTGAGTACAGTCCATCAGTATTAACTCATCCATTCACACACCTTCACACACTGATGGTAGAGGCTGCTGAGTAAAGAGACCATCAGTATTAACTCATCCATTCACACGCTGATGGTAGAGGCCGCTGAGTAAAGAGTCCATCAGTATTAACTCATCCATTCACACACCTTCACACACTGATGGTAGAGGCCGCTGAGTAAAGAGTCCATCAGTATTAACTCATCCATTCACACACCTTCACACACTGATGGTAGAGGCTGCTGAGTAAAGAGACCATCAGTATTAACTCATCCATTCAAACACTGATGGTAGAGGCCGCTGAGTACAGTCCATCGGTATTAACTCATCCATTCACACACCTTCACACGCTGATGGTAGAGGCTGCTGAGTAAAGAGTCCGTCAGTATTAACTCATCCATTCACACACCTTCACACACTGATGGTAGAGGCCGCTGAGTAAAGAGTCCATCAGTATTAACTCATCCATTCACACACCTTCACACGCTGATGGTAGAGGCCGCTGAGTAAAGAGTCCATCAGTATTAACTCATCCATTCATACACATTCACACACTGATGGTAGAGGCTGCTGAGTAAAGAGTCCGTCAGTATTAACTCATCCATTCACACACCTTCACACGCTGATGGTAGAGGCCGCTGAGTAAAGAGTCCATCAGTATTAACTCATCCATTCATACACATTCACACACTGATGGTAGAGGCTGCTGAGTAAAGAGTCCATCAGTATTAACTCATCCATTCACACACCTTCACACGCTGATGGTAGAGGCTGCTGCGTTCACTCTTTAACGCCTCCTCTTGTTGTTTCTCCCTCACAGGGCATCTACAGCTGTATCCACGGCGTGCAGATCGAGGAGAAGAGCAGCTCTGCGCTCAACTCGCCGTCAGCCACCATGAACAACACCCACTCCAACATCATGCGCCTCCTACGCACCGCTAAGAACATGGCCACCCTGTCCGGGGTGAACGGCTCGCCACACAGCGCTCTGGATTTCATCCGGCGAGAATCCTCCGTGTACGACATATCAGAGCACCGGCGCAGCTTGGCGGGCCACTCGGACTGCAAGCCGGCATACATACCAGACGACAACATGTTCAGCGACTACATCAGCGAGGTGGAGAGGACGTTTGGAAACATCCACCTGAAGGACAGTAATCTGTACCAGGACCACTACCTCCACCACCATGGATCGGCACTCGGGCTCAATGGACCGCCACCCAACAGACCGCCAAGTTTGGGCAGCGCCAGTTCTCTGGAGGGCGGGATGTTCGACTGTGACAGCCTGGGTGGAGGCGTGGCGCCGATCTTCAGCACGCAGCCCTGCTCGGCTCTGACTCACAGGAACATGAGCAAGTTTGACCTGCTGTCCGGACAGACCCCTCCCTCAGGACAGAGTTTCAAGGGAGGTCTGCCAGACCTGTACGGCAAGTTCTCCTTCAAGGGCGGCGCCTCCAGCTCCACGTACATCCCCGGACATAACTACTGTGGAGGTCGTGGCGAGGAAGATGGGAATATACGCTCGGATGTGTCGGACATTTCTACGCACACAGTCACCTACGGGAACCTGGAGGGTAATGCCAAAAAACGCAAACAATACCGAGATAGCCTGAAAAAGAGGCCGGCCTCTGCCAAGTCCAGACGGGAGCTGGACGAGATCGAGCTGGGCTACCGGAGGAAACCGTATCACATCAGCCACCACCACTACCACGGCCACCGCTCGGCCTCGCCGCCACTTTTACCCCCTGAACGGAAAAGAGGAAGTAGTGGTGGCGGGAACAACGAGGGTAACTCCTACGTCTTCAGAGAGAAGGAGAGCGTTAGGGATTTTTATTTGGACCAGTTTCGGCCCAAGGAGGGGGTCCCTCAGTGGGAACATGTGGACCTCACAGATGGCCCCGGGAGCAGAGATGGAGGCGTGGCGCCCTGCACCACCCTGGTCCCTGTGGATGATTTTCTTAAGAGCAAACCTAAAAAGACAGATTCTAAGGGTGGTGGAGGATCTGGGCTGGCGGGGGGAGAGTGGGAGTGCAGGAACTGTCGGGCTAGCGGTGGGGGCAAACAGATGTCCATTCATGGTAGTGGGTACGGTGGAGGTATGAGCTGCGGGACCTCCGGAGGGGGAGGCAGCCGCCCCAGTTCTGCAACCTGCATGCGCTGCGAGGGCTGTAAAAAGCAGCAGACAGGAAACCTCTATGACATCAGCGAGGACAACAACCACCTCTTGGAACAGATGGGGGGGAGGAAAAGGGGGCGGGGGAGGGGTAGGCCCTCCGTCTCAACCTCAGGGCCAGCAAAGGAGGAAGGGGGGATTTGGCAAACCGCTGAGGCGACAGCACTCGTATGACGCATTTGTGGACCTTCAGAAAGAGGAATCGGGAGGAATGGGAAGTTTAATGGGGATTGGAGGAGTGGGGATCGGGGGTCCGGGAATGGGAGGGATGCTGCCCCCGCCCAGGAGCGTTAGCTTAAAGGAGAAAGAACGCTACATGGACGGCACAAGCCCCTTTGCACACATATTTGAGCGCCATGGTGGATCGGAGAGGGAGCGGGAAAGAGACAGGGACCCTTTGTTTTACGGAGGCGAGAGCCGGAAAGGACCCGGCTCGCCGTTTGGCCTGTTCAGGGGCGGAGACGGACTCCACCGCCGCTCCATCGGAGAGAGAGACACGAGAGACAGGGATCGGTCTCTGATGGAAGGAGGCGGAGGGGGGGTTCTCTTTATCTAAATCTCTTTACCCTGACCGGGTAAACCAAAACCCCTTTATACCCACCTTTGGCGACGATCAATGTCTGATGCACGGCGCCAAACAATACTACATGAAAAAGCAACAGCAGCAGCAACAAGTCGCCAAAAACAGCCGAAGTGACTTCAGAAGCCAGATGAGTACGACGTCTTATCTACCGGCGTCCGCCTCGGCCGGAGTGATGTCAAACGTGGCGCCCCGGTTCCCGAAAGAGCTCAGCCTCGGTGGGATGAACCACCACGGGTCCATGCTGGGCGTCGGCCCCCCTCGCCCCTTCAACGGAAGCAATGGCCATGTGTATGAGAAACTGTCCAGCATTGAGTCGGACGTGTGAGAGAACAAGGAAAGGAGGAGGCAAAGGAGGGAAGGAGAGGAGGAGGCAAAAGGGGGAAGGAGAGGAGGAGGCAAAGGAGGGAAGGAGAGGAGGAGGCAAAGGAGGGAAGGAGGGGAGGAGTCGTCATGTAGTGTACGGAGATCAGGGATGATTTTAAAGACACTGTCCATGCACTGCGACCTCGGCCCACATTGGGACAGAAAGACGATGTAGAGGGGGGGAGGGGTCTGAAAGGGGAGAGGGAGACTTGAAGGTTTTTGTAAGAAATGTGCTTCAGATTCAGGACGCCGTGAGGAGGAGGGGGATGTAAGCGCTCTCTCAGATTTGGCCAAAGTAACAGTTGATTAACCCCTTTATCTCCCCCCCCCTTTAACGCCACAAACGCACTCAACTCCAAGTCCTTTCTTTCACCCACCAGAGAGGCAGAAGTCGATGCGCTCGGTTATCACTGCGAAGACGAGACATCTCATCTCGGTTTGATCTCAGACGTGTGAGCGAGGTGCGATGTGACGGCCGTCTGAGAGAGGAGCGAACTGCCCCATCTGCCCCCGATGTCACCTCAGAAAGGAGACATGGTCACTTCCACTCGAGCCGCCACACGGGACATGACGAGCCCCCCCCCCCCCCCTCAGCTCGGCCTGGCCGTCTCTCTCCTCTCCTCCTCCTCATCCCTAACGCCAAAAGATCTGATCTTGTTTGCTGTGAGAAATACAATCATGAATGATAATAAGATATTCTTATAGAAAACACAGGGTATAAGAACAACATAATATTGATAACATTGTGAATAACAAAGATGTTAGTTCTGATTATGATAACACTGATTACTTTTTCTTGTTTTCTGTTCTCACTGCTGTTTTAGAATCTGTCGTTGTATCTCTGCTGCCCCTAGTGGCGGCAGCAGGAAGGTTGTTTTAAATTCAACCAAACGAGCCAGAAAGACTTGAACTCTTCACTTTTCTTTTTGGAACATTTGATCCATGTTCATTCATTTATTTGCTCCTTGTTGGAAACAGGATCTCAAAGACACGTTTGGAGCTGACAGATCCTTTTTGTTGTTTTCAGACATTGCTAATCAATGCACACACACACACACACACACACACACACACACACACACACATACACACACATACTGAAAAACATGTTTTTGTGGGCCTGAACTTGTGTTACTGTGAACAACACGCTCCGTCACAAACTGAAGACGCTGAAGAGGAAGGACGTGCCTTAATGGTCTCCAGTGGATGTGTCCTCCTGATCCCGGCCCCCCACATGGCGGCGGCGGGCGGCGGAGGCAGCAGGACGGCCCTGCGTGTTTTCGAGGCTGCTCTCTTCGGCGTTATGAACCAAAACTGCAGCAGCAGGGTGGAGACGCTGCTCCTGACGGTTTGGATACAAGACGCTGTGGGTTTTATAACTTCTTAAATTAATTTCATATGTGGAGTTTTGGGCTTTAAGAAGCCGTTGTATTCAGGATGTCCCACCGTCACGGATCGACAGACGCGTCTCATTTCACAACACGGCAGCCTTTAGACCACTTCTTTTATTCAGGTTACATGACGACCGTCGCCGGGCGCTTAACGTCTCTCGGACTCTCCTGGAAGCTCTGTGTGGACGCTTGTGCTGCGGCGTCGTTGATTTGTAGGTGAAATGATCGTAAATGATGTGATGTCGCCCCGTGAAGGCGATGCTGATAAAAGCTTGAGCTCATTTGAAATCCTTCTCTAAAATCTCTCGACTGAGGCGTCAGGAAGCTGGCCATCTTGTGAAAGTTCTCCGGCTCTGACTGATGTAGATAGTCTCCTTTCAGCCCGAGAGGCCGAATTTATTGCACAGGACATTTTACTGAGTGTAGGTTCAGGCACTAAGTAGACATGCCTTATCGTCCCATCGACCCCCCCCCCCCCCCCGACGCGGAGCCGTCTGATGATGACTCATCATTTTACTGTACAGAATAAAGACGTGTCTATTAGTTATTTTAAAGGTTTGATCTTCGATTAGCCGCCGGTGTCAGAAGTTCAAGGGCTGCAGGAGTGCTGGCAGAGATTGGAGCTGCTGGAGCGTGCAGAGAGCGAGAGCTTTGTCTTACCCCCCCATCCTAATGCACGGATGTAATGGGTTGGCGTGAGTGAGCGAGTGTGTGTGTGTGTGTGTGTGTGTGTGTGTGTGTGTGTGTGTGTGTGTGTGTGTGTGTGTGTGTGTGTGTGTGTGTGAAAGGAAAGCAAATCACGATTGAATGATAGCAGCTGTATTTTTTTTCCCCACGAACTTGCTGATAACTTGCTCATACATCCAGAGCCTCTCCTCCTCCTCTTCCTCCTCCTCCTCTTACTCCTCCTCCTCTTCCTCCTCCTCCTCTTCCTCCTCCTCCTCCTCCTCCTCTCCTCCTCTTCCTCCTCCTCCTCTTCCTCTTCCTCCTCCTCCTCTTCCTCCAGTTCCTCCTCCTCCTCCCCCTCTTCCTCCTCTTCCTGCTCCTCTTCCTTCTCCCCCTCCTCTTCTTCCTCCTCCTCTTCCTCCTCCTCCTCCCCCTCTTCCTCCTCTTCCTCCTCCCCCTCCTCCTCCTCCTCCTCTTCCTCCTCCTCCTCTTCCTCCTCCTCCTCTTCCTCCTCCTCTTCCTCCTCCCCCTCCTCCTCCTCTCTCTTCCTCCTCCTCCTCCTCCTCCTCCTCCTCCTCCTCCTCCTCCTCCTCCTCCTCCTCCTCCTCCTCCTCTCCTCCTCCTCCTCCTCCTCCTCCTCCTCCTCCTCCTCCTCCTCCTCCTCCTCCTCATCCTCTTCCTCCTCCTCCTCCTCTTCCTCCTCCTCATCCTCTTCCTCCTCCTCCTCCTCTTCCTCCTCCCTCGCTCAGCAGATAACACCGCTAAAGTGAGACAGATCAAGTTAGCCTTAAATCAAACAGATCCTTCCACCCGCCCCGCCCCGCCCCGCCCCGCCCCGCCCCGCCCCGCCCAGCCCCGCCCCTGAATCACTCCTCTAACAAATCGATTTGGGATCTCTGGAATTTTTATACGCACATTTTGAAAGTTCAGGTCAACCATTATCAACGGAATCCAGAAAGAGGGGGGGAGAGAGAGCGGGGAAACAAGGAGGAGGAGATAAAGAGGAGCTGAAGACGGCCCGTGGAGACGGCATCAATCAGTGTCAGCATTTGTACGTTCGATCTTTTCCTTGTAAATACAAACTATTTAAAACTCTTTTCACTTTTACAGTAAACAGACAGACAGGATGTAACTTTCAATATGTTTTACAGCAATTTAAGAAATAAACAAAACAACCATAAAAACTCAAAAAAACTCAAAAAAAAAAAACACAAAAGAAAAATATGCAACGTATAGTTAAGACACAGATATTACTAATCCTAAGTGATGGAATTGAACCTCTTCTTTTCGTTAGTTTACCGATCAGTACGCTGATTCTGTTAAGACTTCTGCTTTGTCATACTTTCACTACGCTGTCGGAGGCGGAGGATACTTTTCTGTAGGTGTAGACGTTTGGTGATCTAAAGGGGAAAGTTTAGTTTTTAGGAGTGGTCGCTAAGTTTCCCTTGAATTGTGTTAGACTTTTCTCTTTTTAAGGTAAGCTCTTCTTCATGCTTTTTTGAGATGAACTCAAGTATCTACACATTTATGTCATACAATAATACGTGTATACATAGATGATATTGCATATAGAGGCAGTATATTGTGATCCTTCGTTTTTGAACGCGGCGGTCCTCGCTTGAAAAACGTACGACTTGTTTGTGTTTTGGTTGCCCGCTTTTTTTGACCCGGGCTCTGATCGTGATTGCACACAGAATTTAGAGCCATCATCGACCCGCCCTATCCTGTTCCCTCTCTATGTTTTGAATAGATATCACTGTGGTAAAGGACGACGCACACACACACACACATACACACACACTGGATATTCCCCAGTGTCGATGTTTTGTTCATATTGCTGAGACGTTCAGCGCGATATCGGGACAAACAAACACGTGAAGTTTATTGATAATCAATCTGAGGCTGAAATGCATTTGTGCAACCCCTTATTAAAAGGTTTGTTGTGTCATGTCTCATTTTGTGTCGAGTCATGCTTCAGGGGGAATCAAATGTTTTTACTTGACCAAACATATTTTATAAAAATGTGTCACCTGATGACGCTTTGACACCTGATTTTATCTTTAGTGCATCTTTGTGCACACTTGTTCCTTTCCCTGTTTCAGAGAGAACATGTGATGATGTTCAGATGCTCCTTCACCTCCATGCAGACACACACTCTTCTTCTTCTGTGTGCTCCTGAGTCGTTATAATCCCTCAGCAAAGGAATCCCTCCCTCTCCTGTTTTCCTTCTTTCACGTCTCGAGTCGATTGAAGAAGTGAAAAACATTTCTTTGTGCACATGAAGTCTGTTTCAAACTTCTCATTTCTCTCATTTGCAATAAACGAGCAGGCAGAGAATGCTCCCACCGCACCCTGAATGTGGACATGCATCACTTTAATCCTGCACTACAGCGAGCTGCTGGGACGTGAAGCTGCACCTGACACTGTGCTAAACATGCTATCATCAGGCTGTTAGCACCTCCAGCCGGGACGCAGAGTGAGCATCACAAGTCTTTTGACTCGCTCGCGGCCACATCGGGTTCCTCTGCACACGAGCGTGCCACAACACATTTAGATCAAACGGTGCACGTAGAGTTAAAACACTGTGTACACGGGGGACGTAGCGAGTTAGCGGGTGGAGGGGGAGGATGTAAATATCACCTCAGCTCAACGTGCGTCTGCACATCTTCAGCTGCAGGGATCGATGCACCGGTTCAAACTTACCTGTGAAATCTTTGCATTCTGTGTGCTGCAGGAATCCAAGATGTTTATTTAACACACAGTTTTTATTTCTCGATGAGTCCCTTCTCACGCAGAAACGATCAAACTGTGATTTTCAAACGACTCGTTTGATGTGAAGGGTCGTTCGTTGGAGTCTCTGCAGAGCTCGTGATATTTTAAAGATGTCTGTGTGTGAGTGGTGTGTTGCTTTATATTGATGCATACACAGTTTTCTATCAATCGTGTACAGTTTGGTTTATTGCTCTTTTCCATCCTCATTGTCCTGACGGCTCGCCACACGCTGGATTGTTGAACCGTGAATGAAAAGGAGATAAGGGGTTGCTACTAAATGTATTTCACAAACGACACAGCCAGAATAAACGACCTGTGGGCCGACTCAAAGTGTGACACAGGATGATATTCAGAATACTTTTCTTGGCCTTTCTTTTCTCTTTTACGGCCCTTTGCTTTGAAACAATCCCACGATTTTTACACCTGACGGACACAGAGACAAATAACTGTACAGGTTTGTGTAAATACTGAATATCTGAGGGGGGGGGGGGGGGGGCTTTTACCTTCTTTTTTTTGTATCAAGGTAATCTCAATAACAGAATTAACCACGTCATGACAAAATTGCAAAAAAACATCATTAAGGTACTTCTAATAAGGATAATATCTACGATTATAAGAGCTCAATAAGACTATTCTTTCTCTTTGTACATGATGAACAAATGAAGTGTTGAGTATTAATAATAAAAAACTAAGTTTCACGCACATGCTCACGAGTCTTTTTGCTTCTCTGTGTCTCTCTGCGTCGCTGTAACAATTCTTCTTTGTGCATGAGATGTTTCCTTTCCTTCAGGTTCCTGCACGAGGCTCAATGTTCCCCGAGCTGCAACTCAATCGATGGAGTGTAAGAGGATCGGAGGTCGGCGCTCAGGCACTAGGTTATCTGGTTTATCAACAACTTCATTCATTTCTACAGAGCTGCTTGTGGGCATGATTGATCATTTAACTTGTTCCCAGTAGATTATAACGTGTGTGCAGAAGTTAATTATCTTAAAGTCTTTATTGTGATTTTTGATCCAGCAGATGTCGCCCTTGAGCTCCAGCATGAAACCAAAACAACTCACGCTGCATTGTTGTGTTAGCATGCTAATGCTAGCGATCTTTATTATGCTGGTATCTTCACACTGCATGTAAATGTACCTGAAATGAGCGTGATCTAGAAACACAGTTAAGCAGTGAGTACAGTATGTTATTCTTCTTTTCTCTAGTCCCTCAATTAAACAACTTTTATACACGAGGGGAGGAGTCAGCCGGCTGTCCCGACGATGTAAACAAAGTGAAGATAGGACTCAGAAAACTCTGAAAACATCACAGACAGTGGGACTCGGGTGTTACACCCATTGTAGACAGTCATGACTCACAGAGTTATTTTCAGAGGAGATACTTGATTTATATATTTAAGGGTGAAGAATCATAGAAAGACTTTAAATAAATTGCAAAGTTGCTGCTCCGCCAGCCGACCTCGCACAGACTCTGAAAATGTGCAACACGTCAGCAACCGTCGTGGGTGTTACTTTGGGTTCACTGCGGTCAACAGGAAGTGGTGGAGTCGATGAGTTTGAAGTGCAAAAACACAAAGAGGTTGCACATTTTTTTCAGCTGCAAACCTACAAAATGAGACATAAAAACATAAAAACAGGATCACCTCATAGGTGCTGAATGTACACTACAAGATACTCACAGTGATCGCGGGTTTGTCCCTCAGTGATGATGTTTGTGAACGTTTGGCAGTGACGCTCGCTGCAGTAAAAAGGGGCAATTTTGCCTGGAAAGTAGATGCATAATGTCTGACTTAAATATATGTAAATGAATGTGAAGCACAGACTTCCTGCCCTGCAGCCCACTGTTAGCTACTTAACTCCGTCTGTGTGTGCTTTGAGATAATGAAGCTGATTTTTTGTGTGTCTCATTCTGCAGGTTTTCACAGCTGAAAAAATGTTGCACCATCGCTTTGTGAATTTGCCCTTCAAACTCGTTGACTCCACCTCTTGCTGTTGTATAAAACTGCACCCCAAACTAAACGCCCACGTCGAGCGCTGACAAACTGCAGATTCAGAGCCTGTGCAGGAGAGAGCGGCTGTTTTCTAAACCGCCTACGACATACTACTGTTGAACACAGTCTGTAGTGTGACCTCCAGTCCGTGGTTATTCTGCAGAATACCAGGCCCGGCTCAGCTGGGTTCTGGTCTTTGAATGAGGAAGTGAACAACAGCCCAGCTGACGCCAAACGCCGCTCCAATGTGGCGTCCACTTACAGAAAACAGCTGACGAGAGATTCATTTAGATTTTCATGATTTAGAGAATCAACAAAGATAACTGGAGGTATGTTTGTGAGGTTTGATCTGATTGAGGTTATTCCCTCTGTTACGATGGATGTTGCTGTACATCACTTCCATCTCCTGGCGCTTTGCATTGTGGGAAACAGGACGCGAGGGAGACTGGTCTGATGCAGACTGCCTTTTGGCCTAATCAGTACGTACTACTAGTAAAGTAGGCAGTTTAGAAAACAG